TATTTATATTTATATTTATATTTATATTTATATTTATATTTATATTTATATTTATATTTACATTTATACTTATATTTATATTTATATTTGTATTTACATTTACATTTATACTTATATTTATATTTATATTTATATTTATATTTATATTTATATTTATATTTACATTTATATTTATATTTATATTTATATTTATATTTACATCCATATTTAACTTCTGTAAAAGGCAAAAATGGCCATCAAAGAGAGTTTCATTTTTGGCATTTGTCTTCATTTAATTATTAAATACTTTGCATGCGCTGGCTGAGTACTAGAAGCCAAAAAGAAACAAATAAAATAAAACAAAATAAATAAAATAAATAAAATAAATAAAATAATAAAATGAATAAAATATATTATTTTACTTTCGACTTTTAGTTGCATTTCCCTCAAAGCCGCTCCTGCCCTGCTGCCTCCACGATGCCTTTTCGCGGGGCCCCTTGGGGGCCCCCTGGGGGCCCCTTGGGGGCCCCCCGGAAGGCCCCTTGGGGGGCCCCCTTGGGGACCCCTGGGGGGCCCCCGGGGCCCCCCAGTGCCTCCGGATTGCTGCTTTTAGCTGCTGCTCAGCCTCTAGAGCTTCTTGCTGCTGGCTGTCAAATTCAAAGCCTAAAAAGCGAAAGTCAAGACGCCATTGGCGGCTAGTGGGGCCCCCCTGGGGGCCCCCCTGGGGGCCCCCCTGGGGGACCCCCTGGGGGCCCCCCTGGGGGCCCCCCTGGGGGGCCCCCTGGGGGGCCCCCTTGCAGTCACAGGAGCAGATAGAGAGAGGGGGCTCCGGCTCCCTGACAAGGTTGCCGAGGTCTTTGGCTTCTCCAGAGTCAGCTGCTGCTGCTGTTGCTGCTGCTGCTGTTGCTGCTGCTGCTGTTGCTGCTGCTGCTGCTGCTGCTGCTGGGCTCGCTGCTGCATCCGAGGGCCCCATGAAGGCAGCAGCGCTGCTGTCTTGCCGACACTCGGATTGGGGCTGCGCGAGGGTATCGGGGGGCCCCCCTGTGGGGCCCCACAGGGTATCGGGGGGCCCCCCTGTGGGGCCCCCCAGGGGGTCGGGGGCCCCCCCTGTGGGGCCCCACAGGGGGTCGGGGGGGCCCCCTGTGGGGCCCCACAGGGGGGCCCCCTGCTCGTCTGCTGAGTCTTCTGTCTCTTCTGTCTCCGAGGAGAAGGCGCTGCTGCTGGGGGACGTGAGGGGGGGGAAGTGAGGGTACAGTTTTTGGACCCTTTTGTCTTTATTAATTTTCTTTTTGTCTCCTTTTGCTTTTATTTTGTCTCCTTTTTTCTTTTTCTTTGAACTCCAACAGTACCCTGCAAACCACGGGTGTCTCTTTATTTCTTTATAACCAAATCTGCACTCTTGGGGGCACAGCAAATGCTGCAGCAGGTCAACTGCCTCTGCAGACACTGTGGGGGGCCCCCCCGGGGGGCCCCCAGGGGGCCCCCCTAGGGGCCCCCCCGGGGGCCCCCCAGGGGCCCCCCCAGAGGCTCCCCAGGGGTACTCCTCAGGAAACCTCTCAGAGGACCCCCCGGGGGCCCCACCGGGGGCCCCACAGGGGGCCCCCACGGGGGCCCCCCAGGGGGCCCCTCCAGGGGCCCCCTCCTGCGCCAGGGCCTCCTTTTGGGGGGCCCCCCTAATTACAAAAGGGGGGGGAGGCAAAGTAATATACTTTTGATAGTTTCGCAGCATGCAAATAATCAACTCGGGGTTGGCGACCCCCACAACTGGCATAAAAGGAGGGTCTGAGGCCTTTGCTGCTGCTGCTGCTGCTGCTGCTGCTGCTGCTGCTGCTGCTGCTGCAGTGTCTCCTCCTGCATGCACGTCGTCCGTCGGGTCCCCACAAGGCTCCGCTGCTTGGCTCTTACTCGCGGAGTCCCCCAGCTGCCGCTGCTGCTGCTGCAGCTGCTGCTGCTGCTGCTGCTGCTGCTGCTGCTGCTGCTGCTGCTGCTGCTGCTGCTGCTGCTGCAGCTGGCGGGGCAGCACCAGCCGGCCCAGCGGCGGGAAGCCAAAGAGACACTCAAACAGCACAGCCCCAAAGCTCCACCAATCTGCTTTGCTTGAATAACCCCCAGGGGGCCCCCCTTCTGGGGGCCCCCCTTCTGGGGGCCCCCCTTCTGGGGGCCCCCCTTCTGGGGGCCCCCCTTCTGGGGGCCCCCCTTCTGGGGGCTCCCCTAGGACCGCTGTTCCTAGGGGCCCCTCTTCGATCTTTGGGGGCCCCCGGGACCCCTCTTGGGGCCCCTTTTGGGTCTCTGGGGCCCCCGTTTGGGGCCGCTGGGTCCCCTCTGGGGCCCCCGTCTGGGGCCCCCGTAGGGGCCCCCCAACTGCTGCTGGCGGGTTCGTTTTGCTGCTGCTGGGGGCCCTTTTAGGAGACAGTTTGGAGAAGTTCGAAGTGTCTCTTTGCTGCAGCAAAGCCACTTCCGGGGCCATATAAAGAAGAGTCCCCACGGCCAAGAGGGGGGCCCCCCTGGACAGCTGTTTGAACCTCCACTCCCCCACAGACTCCGGAGCCTCCTCCCAGCCCTCGCTGCTGCTGCTGCTGCTGCTGCTGCTGCTGCTGCTGCTGCTGCTGCTGCTGCTGCTGCTGCTGCTGCTGACTGCGCCGCTGGCGTCGGCCTGCTGTGTGTGCGGCGGCAGGCGCGCGGCGTGGCTGTCTGCTGCTTCGGCAGCAGCAGCAGCCGCGGGGCGCCCCGCCGCCGCCGCCGCCGCTGCTGCTGCTGCTGCTGCTGCTGCTGCTGCTGCTGCGGGCCTGCGGGGGGCCCCCCTGGCGGCGAGGCCCATGTCCACGAGGCGGAGGGCCCCCCTCTTGTCCAAGACGAGGTTTGCGGGCTTCACGTCTCTGTGAATAAACCCCAACTTGTGAACTGCATGCAGGGCCCCCGCGAGTTGTGCTGCGCAGCAGCGGGCCCGGGCCTCGGGGAGGGGCCCCTGCTGCTGCAGCAGGGCCCCCAGGCTCAGGGGGCCCCCCCACTGCAGCAGCAAAAACAAATGCTGCTGGTCTTGGAAGGCTGCATGCAGCTTCACGAGGTGTCTAGACACCTTGCTGCGGGCCAGCAGCTGCCGCTCCGCGTACACCTGCGCCCACGCGCTCGCCGCCCCCGCGCCGCTGCTGCTGCTGCTGCTGCTGCTGCTGCTGCTGCTGCTGCTGCTGCTCGCCAGGCTCGCCTTCGGGATCACTTTGAGGGCAAACTGCTGCTGCGTCTTCTTGTGCCGCACCAGCCACACGCGGCCCCCAGCGCCTTCCCCCACGAGGGCCTCCCGCTGCAGCTGCATGCGCAGCTGCTGCAGCCGCAGGGGCCCCAGCAGCTGCTGCTGCTGCAGCGCAGCCAGCAGCTGCAGCAGCTCCTTCTTCCTCCCCAGCGAGCCCACCGAACACCGCTTCCTGCTGCTGCTGCTGCTGCTGCTGCTGCTGTTCAGGGGGACACGACGCACGGCGCTGCGCCGCCGCACAGAGTTCGTACACGCAGCAGCAGCAGCAGCAGCAGCAGGTGCTGCTGCTGCTGCGTCTTCAGGGTTTTCATACTGAAAATGAGGTGATTTCGATGCTTCTAGAGGAATCCCTGCTGCTGTCTGCTGCTGCTGCTGCTGCTGCTGCTGCTGCTGCTCCAGCGGAGTCAGGTCTTCAGTTCGCAGCCCTGGGCCGGCTCCTATGGATCCAGGCGAAGCAGACGAGGCCTGCTGCTGCTGCTCTTGCTGCTGCTCTTGCTCCTGCTGCTCCCGCTGCTGCTCCAGCTCCTGCTGCTGCTGCTGCTGCTGCTGCTGCTGCTGCGCTGCGTGCTGTATGAGCGCAATGAGGCTCCGCCTGCGCCTGCAGTTGAACTCCTGGCGGCGCTTCTGGAGGCAAATGGCTGCCTTGAACAGCTGCAGCTTCCAGCCCACAGAGGCTGCTGTTGCTGCTGCTGCTGCTGCATCTGCTGCTGCTGCTGCTTCTGCTGCTGCTGCTGAGTGTTCTTGTGGAGGGTCTGTTGTGGCAGGCAGCGACGTGCCGTCGACAGCCCCTGCAGCTGCCGCGGCTGCTGCTGCTGCTGCTGTTGCTGCTGCGCCAGCAGCGCTTCCCGCAGCACCCCAGGGCTCTTTAATGCCTGCTTCTCCCCCCGCTGCTGCTGCTGCTGCTGAGGCCTCGTCTCCCTCCCCTCTGCTGCTGCTGCTGCTGCTGCCCTGCGCAGCTAACCACTGGTCAAGCAGGCTGCTGGGGCCCCCCCCAACGAGGCTGGCAGCAGAGAGCCGCCGCCAGGCGCAGGCGCATGCATGGGGCTCGGGGGGCCCCTGTGGGGTCTGTGGGGCCCCACACTGCAGCAGCGCAGCAGCAGCAGCCCCGGGAGGGGAAGATCCCCCAGAAGTGGCTGAGGTGTACATGCAGCTGCGCTGAGGTGTACAGACACCGCAGCAGCAGGTCACCGGCGTTCGCGGCGGTGTTGGGAGTCCGAGCAGCTCCAATCCCGCAGTTGAAGACTTTTAATTATTTAATTGTTTAATTGTTTTATTTTTTATTTTTTTATTGTTTTGTTTTTATTTATTTACTTGTATATCCCGCAGGAACTGCGCGCGGCGCTCGCTCCGCCTGCAGCAGACGGCTAGCTGTGCAGCTTCCGGGAGTCTTCAGCGGCGCCGCCTTGACTTTGTTTGTCAGCCAATCTTCAATTTGAAAAGTTAATCTTATTCTTTTTCAATCTGCAAAAGCAGACGCTGCCAGTTTCGCTAGCTTACCCACGAAGACACGCAGCAGCAGCAGCAGCAGCAGCAGCAGCAGCAGCAGCAGCGGCAGCAGCAGCAGCAGCCACTACGACTACACTGCGCAGCGTAGAGAGCGCGTAGCTTCTTTGGCTTTTTCAGCATTAATTGAGTCAAAAATGCAAATTAAAATAATAAAACAAATTTAATTTAATATAATTTCAGTGAATTAAACACATTAGACCCCTGCGCCCCAGCTTGTGCCTGCAGATCTCGCAGCAGCAGGGGGGCCCCCAGCGCCGCTGCGCTGCTGGGGGCCCCCCAGCCCATGGCAGCAGCAGCAGCAGCAGCAGCAGTTCTTGAGCTGTTTAATTCAATTTTTTAAATATTATTTAATTTGTTTTAAGCCCTTCCTGCTAGGCTGCTTGAATCCCAGATCGGGGGCCCCCCGGCAGCAGCAGCAGCCAGATCCAGCAGCAGGGGGGCCCCCCGGAGGGCCCCTGCCAGGGCTTGGGGGCCCCCTGGGCATTCCCAGGTGTATCGACAGCTGCGGGGCCCCACAGCCGCGTCTGGCCCGAGCGTGGGGTGTACGTACACCGCAGGCTGTGAGGTGTCTCGACAGCCACACAATGACCTCCGGGGGCCCCCAAGGCCTTTCTTGCTTCTGTCTCTGCGTCTCTTCCGCCCCACAGCGCAGACTTGCTGCTGCTGCTGCAGCAGCAGCTGCTGCTGCTGCTGCATGCAAACGCATGCAGACAGGGTTCAGAGCTTGTGGGGCTTTGGGGGGCCCCGGGGGGCCCCGGGCCAGCGCCTGAAAATGCGCCCCAAGCTCAAGCCGCCCCTGCTGCTGCTGCAGCAGCAGCAGCAGCAGCAGCGGCGGCAGCGCCTGTTGCTGCTGAAGCTGCTGCTGCTGCCCCTGTGCTTGCTGCCCCTGCTGCTGCCTCAGCCGGTTGCTTGTGTCTCGCTGCAGCAGCAGCAGCAGCAGCAGCAGCAGCCTTGTCTCCGTGTCCGAGGCGTCTCCTCGCGCTGCTTCCTGCTGTCTCCCCTGCCTCCCTCGTTTAGGGCCCCAGCAGCAGCAGCAGCAGCAACAGCAGCAGCAGCAGCAGCAGCCAACGGGGGCCTCTCGAGGGCCCCCGGTGCATGCAGGGGGCCCCCCTGGGGCCCCCTGGGGCCCCCCGAAGCTATAGGGGGCCCCCACAACCTCTGCACTGTGGCAAGGTGCAGCAGAAAGCCTTTCCGCAGCGCAGCAGCAGCAGCAGCAACAGCAGCAGGAGCAGCAGCAGCAGCAGGGGCCCCCCCAGCCGCGGGGCAGGAGGGGGCTGCATTCGGCGGGGCTGGAGAGGGAGAGACGCAGCAGCAGCCACCTGCTGCTGCTGCTGCTGCTGCTGCTGCTGCGTCAGCAGCAAAAGCTAAACCAGTCAAGGGGCCCCTCTCCAGACAGCCCGGGGGGCCCCCCAGAGGGGGCCCCCCTCCTCCCGCCTCCTCTGGCCCGCCCCGCATGAGCTCAGCGGCAAGCAGCCAAACCCTAAACCCTAAACCCTAAACCGTAAACCCTAAACCCTAAGTCTTATCAATAAGCCGAAGCCCCTAGCTGCAGTGCTTGTGCTGAACCCTAGGTGGCTCTCTTTGTTGGCCTAGTCTGGGACGGCAGGTTTGCATAAAAGGGTTTAGAGTTTAGGGTTTAGGGTTTAGGGTTTAGGGTTTAGGGTTTAGGGTTTAGGGTTTAGGGTTTAGGGTTTGGGGCTTTGGGTGTCCTACAGGCTCCCTTCTCTGGAAGCACCCAGGATGCTCCCAGGAAGGCGCAGCAGCGCAGCAGCCCGAGCCCACAATCTCTACAGCAGCAGCAGCAGCAGCAGCAGCAGAAGCAAGTGCAGCAGCAGCAGCAGCAAGTGCAGCAGCAGCAGCAGCAGAAGCAAGTGCAGCAGCAGCAGCAGCAGCAACACCCAGTGGCTCCAGGGAGGAGACCAGAAGCGAAGCAGCAGCTCAAGCAGCGCCAGCAGCAAAAGCAGCAGCCGTGGCAGCAGCAGCAGCCGTGGCAGCAGCAGCAGCAGCAGCAGCCGTGGCAGCAGCAGCAGCAGCCAGGCAAGCTGCTGCAGCAGCGGCAGCAGCAGCGACGACAGCCGCTGCAGCAGGCAGCCCTTCAGCAGCAGCAGCAAGCTCGCCAGGTGCAGAGACACCAGCAGCACCAGCAGCTGCAGCACCAGCAACTCGAGCAACAGCAGCAGCAGCAGCAGCAGCAGCAGCAGCTAGTTGAGGACAGCCTGGAATTGGTGTCTTGGCTCCGGGACACAAAACACCCTCTTGAAGGTGAGCAGAGTTTTGCTGCTGAGGTGTACGTACACCCGGTTTGCTGCTGCAGTGTACATACACCCAAGCTGGACTTGTGCACAGAGTCCAGCTGCGCCCCAGTTGCTGCTGAAGCCGCAAGGCCTTTAATTGCTGCTGCTGCTGCTGTTGCTGCTGCTGCTGTTGCTGCTGCTGCTGCTGCTGCTGCTGCGGAGAATGCCACACTTTGGGTTCTGCTCTCCGGAAGCCAACGCGCAGCGCTAGGGTTTAGGTTTTAGGGTTTAGGGTTTAGGGTTTAGCGTATAAGGCTCCAGGCGCCCTTGCTTCTAGGGTTTAAGGTGAGGGTTTGGCTAGGGTTTAGGGTTAGGGTTTAGGGTTTGTGTGTCTTTGAAGGCTTGATTGTCTCTAAGAGCAGCAGCACCCTTGGAGTGCAGCTGCTGCTGCCAGCAGCAGTGCAGCAAATGCTGCCCCCCAAGTTGTCTCTTCCAAAGCAGCTATTTGCTGCAGCAGGGGGGCCCCCCGGGGGCCCCCGGGGGGCCCCCCGGCGCAGTGGGGGGGCCCCCGAGGCCCCTCGGCGAGGACCCAGAGGCCCTGTGGGAAGGCCTGCAGCAAGGAGACACCATTCAGCTGCAAGTCATTGGCGTCCGCCAGCAGCAGCAGCAGCAGCAGCAGCAGCAGCAGCAGCAGCAGCAGCAGCAGCAGCAGGGGTGGGGGGGCGG